AAAATCATAAAGAGAAAGTTAAATTAACTTGTAGCTTAGTTGCCAACCCCGCTTTTGTACCTCCACATGATCTTAAAACCGTATTCCCGCTCTAATATGTATATTAAATTAGCAAGTGACAACCCAATGAGCTGTCTCCCTCAAAAACTCTTTTAAATTTATTTCTTGAATCCAAATAAAATTTCTTAAAATACGTGAATAATACTTCTATAAATTGTGGTCATTTTACACTACTCACTACTCACTAGTATCTAGCAAACCATGGCATCTCTAGTAGAGAAACAACCCTTCAAAGCCCTCTTCTCATTCTTCTTATTAGTTTTACTCTTCTCCGATACAGCAGTATCGTCCCATCGAAAAAGATTTGATCGGAAAAAACCCTGCAAACAGTTTTCCTTCTACTACCATGACATCATGTACAATGGCGACAATGTTGCAAACGCAACCTCAGCCACTATTGTGCACCCTCATGGATTCGGAGACTTCCTGTTCGGTAAGTTTGTGATCTTTGATGACCCCATAACAATGGACAAGAACTATCGCTCGAAACCTGTGGCTCGTGCACAAGGCTTCTTCTTCTATGACATGAAGTTGGACTACAATGCGTGGTTCTGCTACACGTTGGTGTTTAACTCGACGGAATACAAAGGGACATTGAACATATTGGGTGCGGATTTGATGATGGAGCCAACAAGAGATCTATCTGTCGTTGGTGGGACCGGTGACTTCTTCATGGCTCGTGGGATTGCAACTTTCGCGACGGATACATTTGAAGGGGCTAACTATTTCCGTGTCAAGATGGATATTAAACTCTATGAATGTTACTAGCTAATTATATGTGTTAATTTGTTTGAAAACTGTCTTGATATGCACAGAGATTATGTGTTACTAGTACGTGAGTGTTTCGGTTCTAGTCTTCTTGAATTACTTTGTTGGTATCATTGTATGTAATAAATAAAGCTGGGTTGTGCTCTTGTATCTTTTTTCTTTCCGTTGTCAGAAATAAACAATATATAAGTAG